CTGGGCTGGGGGGGGGGGGGGCGCTAGCCCCCCGTCTCCCTGGTCTGCTGGGGGGAAGCGCCCCCCGCGCCGCCAGAGGCGGCGACAGTGGGGGAGGCACCCCGCACTAGCTGCGCCCCCCCCATTTGTAACTAGGGATCCGATGTAAGTTGGATTGATGTAACCTGGGGACTGCCTGTACTGAGAATCTGAAAGTGAAATTTGAAGTTGACTTTTTATTCCCCATTTTTCAGACTGGGAGTAATGCAAAACTAAATAGTAACAAGTGAATTGACTATTTAAAAACGTTCACTTTCGATAACTGAAGATGGATAAAACAAGCTGCTTATTGTATATTATCACTATAATAGTATATTATTGCATTAATCCATATAGATCACCTAACTTGTATATTGTAGAAAGGGAAATGTAGAAACTGCCCAAGTGTTGAATAAATCCAAACTGTTGGAATGCAGACAAAACATGTGGGTCAGTTTATATGTATAAAATGTTGGATCTAAATTAGCTATTACCTCTCAAGAAAGAGATCTTGGAGTCATTGTGGATCATCCACTGAAAACATCCACTTGATGTGCAGCAGTAGTCAAAAAAAATAAACAGAACATTGGACATAGTTAAGAAAGGGATAGATAATAAGACAGAAAACGTCATATTGCCCCTATAGAAGTCCATGGGATGCCCACATCTTGAATACTGCGTGCCTCGCCTCATCTCAAAAAAAGATATATTGGAATTGGAAAAGGTTCAGAAAAGGACAACAAAAATGACTGAGGTGGGGAATGGCTTTGGTATGAGGAGAGATTAATAAGACTGGGGCTTTTCAGCTTAGAAAAGAGCTGCCTAAGGGGGAAGGTTAAGTTTGAATCTATACAATGATGACTTGTATATGGAAAGTAGATAAGGAAGTGCTGTTTACTCCTCTCACAACTCAAGAACTAGGGGTCACCGAATTGAATTAATAGGCAGCAGGTTTAAAACAAACACGAGGCAGTTTTTCTTCACACAGTGCACAGTCAAGCTGCGGGACTCTTTTGTCAGAGAATGCTGTGAAGGCTGAGGATATAACAGGGTTCAAAAAAAGAACGGCTACATTCATGGAGGACAGGTCCATCAACGAGTATTAGCCAGGATGGGCAGCTGGGAGGGAACTCTGTTCGTTCCCTCTGCGGCACCTGGCATTGGCCCCTGTCGGCAGCCAGGCCACTGGGCGAGATGGACCCTCGGTGTGACTCAGTGTGGCCGTTCTTACATCCTTGAATGTGCATGTGCCGAGAACAGTCTGTTGTAAAGGCAGCTTGCTGAGCCCTGGAGCTTGAAAGCAGGAAGTAGAGTTATTGTGGGATGGAGGTTAGCTGAATAGGACAGCAGAAGAGGGTGGAAGTTTTCCTTGCAGAAGCTCTTTTTGAACTCGCTTTTGGTAACTGATTTTAAAAGGTCAAGTAGAATCCCTGGAAATGAGGTATGGGACTCTGGGCTGCTGGTGGGAGGAGCGGATAGCAGAAAGACCATGCTTACTAGTCTGTTCCAGTCTGGGCGCCTTGCTCCTGGAGACCAGTCCCGTGGACACCAGTTGTGGGGCTTGACGTTACCAGGGGGATCCAGGCTCATGCTTGGACTAGAAGCCTGCTGATCCTTGCACCTGAAGCCCCAAGGAGGAGGAAGGTAGCTCGGATTTTGGCCTGGTGGATTCTGTTTAGAAAAGGGTTCCCCAGCCTATGGGTTGGGACCCAAATATGGGTCGTCTTTACATTTCAAAAGGGTCACCAGGTGTCTCCCCAGCTGGCTCTGCCTTCCTTCCTCCCTCCCTCTGTTTTTGAATTGCCTTGAGTCACCAAGTCTTCCTGCATTGTCAAAATGGGTCCCCATCTGGAAGAGGTTGGGAACCGCTAAGAACCATCTTTCTTTCCTATGGCTGACTGGTGGATGTCTGATAAGCGTGACCGTCTGCATCCTACTCCTTCCTTCCGTGCAGACCAGTAGCTGAAAGGGAAAAGACTCTGCCCTCCAAAACCTGACAGCTGTCTGGAGAGCAGTTTTCTGCTAGCTGAAATATGGTGTTTCTCTGTTGTGAACTCCGGTGCCGGCCTGTGCTCATGGTTTCACACTGCTCCTGGGAACGACTGACAGGAATCTCGGCAGTCAGAGGTGTCACAGTGCAGCGCTTAAGGACAGGATATTGTAGAGTCCTTCCTGCTGGACTGGTTGGCCCAGCGGGCCTCTCCCTGCCACTGCACCTGCAGTTCGCCTACTCTAAAATCACACCGAAGTACTGCCCATGTTCCCAACAGGAACCACTGCACGAGTGCAGGACTTGCAGGGAACCGTTGTCAGGCACTGGGGCTTGATGGAAAAAGCACCGTACAAAAGCAGAAAGCCTTAGAGGTGGCTGAAAAGCCCCTGTTTGCGGAGACACACCCCTTTTGCTGCACAGGCTGGTCAGTGACGTTCCTAAGAGTCTAGACCAGGATGAGAATCCAGGCTTCTAATTACACCCGCACCTTTTAATGCTAGGCAGTGAAGGTGCATTATTGGCCAGCTGAGCTGCAACCCTTCAGTTCCTCATGCTGAGGGTGGGTAGCAGCAATGACTTGTGGGTAAGCTTGTATTATTGGCAAAGCTGGGTCTGTAGGTAGCCTCCTGCGAGTTGGCCCTGTTCTCCCTGAAGCCAGGGCAGGATCTTAAATGCTACTTGGAATGCAAGATTTGAAGGAAATCTCTTTATGGGCTTTCCCATTATTTGTTCCATAAGCACTTGCTCTGCAGGGAGCTAATTGAGCAACTGCTGGTGAAGGGGCTGTGCTCTTGGCATCGGGGTGGTGAAGGGGCTGTGCTCTTGGCATCGGGGTGGTGATGGGGCTGTGCTCTTGGCATCGGGGTGGTGATGGGGCTGGGTGTGAGGAGATGGTGGCGTAGAGCATTCCGAGTAACGCGGTGCTGTGTGTTTGCAGTGTGCAGGAATTCATGACCTTCACGAGCCAGCTGATTGTAGAGCGCTCAGTGCCGGGCAGCAGAGCGTCCGTGAAGGAGCAAGGTAAGAGGACGTGAGGGCCGTGATCGTGCAGGACTATGGCGG